GCACTTGAATGTTTAGGTGAGTGTACATTGTGGGTAATACAAAGTTGGCGAGTCCGTGAAGCGAGGGCGCGCCGCGTTTTTGTGCGCACCACTCAGTGTGCATTGTGAGGAAGGGTGCAAAAACCGCCGACTTCATTTCGGTTCTATTCACCTCAACTGTTGTGTGTCCGACCACAAGTTTTTATGCCCACCGGGGTAATTTCCACTTTATGTGCCTTGCTCAGCAAAATTCTTATGTTTTATTTTATTTATTGCACGAGTTATATGCCACCACCTGACAGACGTTGCCTATCAACGTTACCTACAGGAAGATGTGCCACGGAGCCACGGGTATTGCCGCGAATATTCCGAATTATCTTCGGCACCACCGCCGCAACCAATGCAATCAAGACATTAGGCTTCATCTTACAAGTCAAGTTCACAGAAAAATATAAGGACATGGAAACTATTAATTTAATGTATTAAAGTCAAAGTTTTTATTGCGTTCATGTGTAGGTACACAAAAAAGGTTTGTAGAGAATTTTATCCTGTACAACTTTTTTTATTAAATGTAAATACGGTTGAGATAAAGGCAACGAGATAATCTCCGAAAGTATTTATTGGGACCTTTTACCTTAATATCTAAGGACGCTGACACGTCACCGTATGTAACTTTTGAGACCATACCATCAAAAAAGGGTTTGTACAAATATTCAGCTTATTCCGTGAGATACCGGATCAACCCCTTATTTTGACTAAGATGTCTGTACTAGTCGTGGTTTAGTCAACCACAATTTCGCCAATCTCATGTATTTGAAACACAGACTATCAAAGGATTTAATCTAGAGAAATTTGATTTTATGTAGAGCAGTGTCAGAGCCAAACAAATTTGATTTTATGTAGAGCAGTGTCAGAGCCAAACAAATTTGATTTTATGTAGAGCAGTGGTAGAGCCACACTAATTTGATTTAATGTAGAGCAGTGGTAGAGCCAAACTAATTTGATTTAATGTAGAGCAGTGGTAGAGCCAAACAAATTTGAGAATGAAAGGAGAAGAATGAATCTTTCGAGATTTGATCACTTATGTTGACAGTGCCTTGTATGTAAATTCCTATCCTTAACATACATCTTAACACAATTAATACTTAATACATGTGCAATTCAGACGGATTGGAATAAAATTATTGCAGTATTGACATTTATATTGTTAAATTTAGTATTATTAACTAGTTAAACGTACTGTATGTGAATGATGTATCTCTTGTTAGTAAACAAACATTAACGTCACGAATGGCGGACATGTTGTTCCTACTTAAAGAACAATGGCAGAAACATATTTACCTAAAACTTAAGCGTTTAAAAAATCGAGTCACAGTAAACTTAATCAAATTTTTTTCTATGATTTATCATTACACCACCATGTGTTGTATAAGTCTTATAAAAGAAAAGATATTTTTGAAGATTTTATTTGACCTAAGTACGTAATGTCAGATTCGCCATCACGTATAACTGACTAGGGATGCGTGGTGGCAATATTATATTATGGAACAATTTATCGATAATCGATTCTTATAGCTTTGGCTGAAATATTTACCGAAGGTTCACTATTATGATTATGAATTTGCTTCTGCCCACGTCTTCACTCGTACGGTAGAGTGACTAAATCAACATAATTAGAAATGATTTAAAATATTTTTGCTCTCTTTAAACGATTTTAAACACTCTAAAGAAATAGAATATAGTTACGTTATTTTCCACTACACAGTGTGATGAGAAAAATACATTGTCATTGATAACGGCACATAGATAGACATACATCGATATTTTCAAATTGTCGATACGTCGTCGTTTAGTACATATCTCTTAATCTGTGGTTTAGATCCTGTCAAGTTCCGGCCTCACCACGTTTGTTATTTTATTTTTGTTTAATTTAATGTTAAACTCGAATAGATGTTATGCTTTTTTTTATTTCATATACTGTAATAATAATGAAAATAATATTTTCGGCTATCTGACACACAACGCCATCTAGTTTCAAACAAAACATTAACAATATGTTAGTACTTAACCTCGAAACATTTAAAATCGAATATCTTTTTTCCTAGACTTCTTTCGCAAGTAATTTTGATATGAGAATGGTCAAGAATAAATTCTCAAGTGTTAAGGATTTTTTGATATTTAAACGCTAACATTTCAGTTCAAATAAAATTATGTATGGGGACCTGCCATTGTCCTTTACCTTAATAAAATCTTTGTTAATTAAATTAATATTAAACCATATTCTTGGATATAAAGAGACAATAATTATTTATTTATTGCAAATATTTCAAACTTAGTATCTTTATATCATCAAAACCTCCGTTCTAAGGAGAGGCTTATGTCCTGCAGTGGACTATTAAAGGCTGTTGATGTGATGTGATGTGATCAAAAAAACATTCTTTTTTTTTTATGACAAAGATCGTCTCTTTTGTAGACTCTAAGGTCATACATCAACACGCACAATCAGCACTACTCTCCAAAGCACAAATCGCAGACCTCACTCTTAAAGCCGCCGCACTCAAATAGCACTGGGCCGGACACGTTTGCCGCATGTCGACGTATCTATGGGCAAAAATTAGCGCCACTTGGGTCCCACAGGGCGCTAAACGATAACGCGGTAGGCCCAGGTGACTTTATCTCTTCTCTATGTTTCATAAAGATTTTACAATATTTTGGAATCGTCTTTTATGTGGACTCTAAAGTCATAGATCAACACACACAATAGCAGCAATCTCTGTTTTGTCAAATAGTAAGCAAATAAATTTAATAAAAATTAAACTTATACAAAATCTATGATATGCCTGTGCCGATCTACAACCGCCCGTTTCCAAGGGGTTGAGCCTTATGAGAAGAAAGGGCGAACAAACTCATGACCACACTCTTGCAATTCACAGATAGATACAATGACATTATTAAATATACCACAACATTGTTTTGATGTGTGCCAGTATGTCCGTAATTAAGGACTAAAAGGTAAAAAGACAATGAAGAGAAAACAAGATAAGGAAAAAAAACGAATAAAAGAATCTTTGTTTTTATGAACAAATATTATAATTTAATATATTATATATTGACATGCCACTGTCATTATGTTTATTTTTTTAAATTTCTGCCTCAATGAACAAGGATTGCCTAAATTATAAAGTGCTTGAGTCTTTTGCAGTGCAAAAATAATTTGAATGTCGGCATCATTCCCTCACAGTAGAATAAAGTAACGACATTATGCTTTGAAAATAACTGAAGTAAACAAGTCGTGCTGAATCAACATCAGTCACCTCTCGAATTTTTCTTACCGCGTATGCTGTTGAGCTGAGTCTACTCGATAATATATCAATATATGGGCCCCTGTAGCTTAGAATCTAGTGTTATACCTAAAAATGCCCTGCAGTGGGACAATACAGGCTAAAAATAAAATATATACGTATCGAAAATCTATTATGTGCCTGTGCCGTTTCCAAGCGGTTGAGCCTAATGAGAAAAAAAGGCCAACAATTTTTTTTTTTTTTTGCACAAACAACAATTCATTGTACAATGGCGGACTTTATGCCTTCGGTATTTTCTCCAAGTCTATCTTTGGGTGGTGGGGAAATGTCTGATTAGGTGCACTAGAAATTAAGTTTTTTGTGTTAACGAGATAAATTCATGATCATATAATTATTATTATGAGGTATGTGACTTCTATAACTTAGTACTTCTTAATAAAGTGTAAGTAATAATTTTTTTGGCACATACGTACGTACACAGATGTAGGTATATCGGTAGTGGAGGTCGGGCGAGGCAATATGCTAATAGCGCAGACGCACGCACTCGCTACACTTTTAACGAGCTCTCGTTAGTTGGGTGTTTGGTGTTGGACCAGAGCTGTCCGCGCTGACTGACGAGATGCCTGTACGACAGCAACCGGTTAACATTTGAACATAATCCTACTGGCGCGTATGCTAAATCAACCAGCGTTCCTCACTATTTTTATACGAACATTTAAAAATGAGAGCTCATATTGCAAGATTGCAACGTGTAGGCCAGGTGGAGCCTAGCAGCCCTCGAAAGATTGCAAACGATACCTTAAGTACGGCAATTGTCTCGCATATTAAGTTTTTAACAACGATACGAGTTGATACGAGCAAGATTCCGAATTGTCCTGGATACAACTAGAACTAGTAAGAAGAAAAAACCCTAGTTAGTACCCTCAGACGCAAAAATAAGCAGTAAAAAGCTTCTAACACTAAATGGAGCGACCGATTCGAAATAGTACTTTTGTTTGAGGGCAATTCTGATTACACGTTCGAAGATCATCCGCCCTTAATAATAACAATAAAATGCGGGTTTCCCTCCTACTATTGGCGCAATCATTTTTGCGACTAGGCTGCTATCCTATCGCCTACCGCAGCAATTAATCTGCCACCAGAGGTCCCCATTCTCTGGCGGCATGCGGCCTCGTCTACGGCTGGTATCGCCGGTGACGTCCTCTAAGCTTGGGATCGGCCCTCCCTCGAACCCGTTCAGCGGTCTCTTTCTGGAGCATTACACAAAAAGACACCACTGCCCCCCAGCTCTCTTCACCCGCCAGCATGGCAGCAGTGATTGCCGGTAGGGACAGCTCGGGGCGGCGCCATCCCTACACTCGGCGCACCGACACTCTTCCGCCATTAGGCAGCTCGACACTTGCACTGTTTCACTTGCTCAACATCTTTCTCTCATAAATACTCGTACGAGTTCATTTACTGAATGGACTTTCAAATAAATAATAACAATATAATCAATATGTATGCCTCGTTGATTGCGAGCTGTTGTTGGCAACTTGTAGTATATATATCTAAAGAAGCTAGTGATACAGATCTTATACTGGCGATTTAGTGATTTATTAGCGAAAATAAATAATGCGACGAGTCAGCACAGAGATTCCCCTGCAGAGTGTGACAAAAAGCGGCGAGCACAGATATGTGTAGCGGGAGCGGACTGCCTCGAGGAACCAGTCAGGTGTTATGTCAGCGAGGGGCGCGGGGGAAAGGCACCTGCACGCCGCGCGGCCGTCGACCCCGGCTGCCCCGCCCCTCGCCCTTCGCGGCCCTCCCGCCTCTCGTAGAGCAGCATCCTGCGCCGCGCGCCGGGAGCCTGCGTGCTACGACCGGCCAGGCCGACTCGACTGTGGCCATACTGTTGTTTTAGAATCCACCAACAACAAACTGTAGCACTGTAAGGAATGTGTTCTCTAATGACAAGAATAACATTTTTCCTTGGACAGACGCTAAGACTGTTGACACTGACCATAATGTGATACCAATGCCCTGTTTTCTTTATTTTTATCTGCTCCGTAAGGCAGTGCCACCCCTCACCAATACGTGTCGTGATTAGATTCACGTGGAGCACAATGAATCTAATTAAATGTTTTTCGTTCTATAATTCGATAAATTAAATTGAAATGGCGGAGCATGACTCGATATAAAGTATCCAGTCGGTGTCGGGGCTCCACTCTTAAACGCTTAAATTTAATTTGTTCCCGCATTATGTAGCAGAGGTAAAAACGCAATGCGGCTCGCCAGGCCACGGCACAACACGCCATGTAATCGAATTTATTTGTGAGAAGCGAGCGTGTCGGCGTCATTGTGTTCCACCCGCCCCTTTGTGCCACTCGGGAGCTGATCACAAAAACAATCCCATTGTGACAATCAATGCTTGCACATAGACACACGACATAACCTTAACGTCAAGCTTGACATCTCTCGTATCTCCTCGTACAGTGGATACTATACAGTACAAGCCCGAGCGAGCGAGCTATGAGAATTATCATACAGATTAGTTATCACAATAAATAGGCCACAGCAGGCGGTCATCATATTGCGTTGCGAATTCCTCCCTCTCGAACAAAAATAGAAGCCTCTGGTCGGCGGCGTGACCCCGGGGCACGCGGGACCGGGTTGCGGGGTGTAAAGGGGGGCAGGGAACAATTTACACAGAGAGCAGAGCGCACGAGTAAATGACCGCGATCGTAACAAACCATCGGTCTCCGCCAAAGCTCATCTAGGACCTACACGGACCATACTTGTTGCGTTACAGCTCTCCGTCAGAGCATTTAATGTGCTGATGTTACAGCTGTAGGTGACGCAGGTTTAATGCGCTAAAAGCATGATAGATTTTAACAATCATAATAATATTAAGCTTTAATAACGATCTTATTCCGCATGTATAATCACGTTCATTAACAATGGTCCACCATGATTGACCACACAACGATTTTATAGAGTTTCATAATGTAAATATCAAGGTCCCGTGTCAACGAAGATGATTTTAAAAATTGTTGGCAACAAATGAGACATTATCAGTAACTTGATCGACGCCCATTTATCCTTATATGCGCCCAGCAGATACTTCATTATCGTTTTATTTACAGATCACATGATAACACGTAGGTGGAGAGTCTGCTATCATTCAGTTATTTCGAACTCCCATGTCACAGAAACAACCGATCGAGACCTACACTATTATAGTAGCAACAATAGGTCCTCGCTATGGACGCTTTTATTAACAGAGAGCTGGAATGCAGATCTATTCGCTTGGACGAGTGAAGTTTGTGGTACGCGCCGCAAATCGGGCGGATAATTGCGCGTGCCGCGGTAATTAATACCCGGCAAAAAATGAACATAAAAAGCTCATCCACACACGCGCACGTGCACCGGAGCGCGGCGAGCCCCGACACCCGGACCACTCGGCGGTGTCCCGGCTGGCTGCGCTCGTTGCCGGCGTTTTTATTAATGATATCGTTTAAATAATGTGCTTGTTACACGTCACGCGTCATTAAACTGTTAAGCGCGACACGCCACTAGGACGTACTCATGTTTTTCTAAGGCCACAGGTTCAACATGGTGTCTACGAATATATTACTAGCAAAAGAAGCAAGTGCAAGAGGGTCAGTGGGCCAGTTGGTCGTACCGTGTGCCCCTCATTATCATATGAAGTAGACGGACGTTTCCATGAAAAGCCGTGCGACAGCTGTGAGCGGCCTCAAACGTGGCGCGGCGAGCCCTGGTAATCCAAACCTTAGTCCTGGCTACGTTGATCAGTGACGTCACTGGCCCATACCGGGTTCGCTTCTTGTTCCAGTTTTTCCACGAGTTAATTAGTGGTAGTTTCTCACGAGCGCTTACACCGTCCTTTATTAAAAGCTTGCCCGATTCTGTTTTAGGTATTTTAATGAGCCGGTTACCTCTGTCTGTTCCCTCCTCGCCCCCCGGCCGGCACTCACTGGCTGAGGATTTATGTGCGTCGGCTCAGTTTCGGCAAAAAGGCGCCAACCGGCCACGGAACCGGCTGCATATACGTCATAAAGACTTGTCTGACTGAAATTAACTTATAGTTCCTCCGAACATTAATGTTTGCCAACTTATTGCGTACAATGTATTCGTTAGAAAATATATTGCAAGGAGGCTCACTAGTCACAGGTTCCTTCACGTTTAGCATTTATCAGTAATAGCTCCTTTAACTACTTGATGCAGAAATGTGAACAGACTGAGCAGGTGTATGACGTCAGGCGTGTTCCCCGGAGATGGCGGGTGAGTGACAGGGAAGCAGCGGACACTTTAGCCAAGTTCTCACGGTTCGGCAGGTATCATATTTTAATTAAGCTCACAGTTTTATTCTGCAGGCAATCACCGTGGCTCGTAAAGGCGCGTCGGAGGTAAGGCGACCCTCGGGCGCGCTCGTAAACCGCCCGAACAGCGCGCACTCGCGCTCGTGGGAGACTAGCCGACGACACCGGCCGCGCCCTCGCGCCTCCACTCACACCGTCACCTCACACTGGCAATCACGTACACCGCCGTTTCCAAGAAAAGACTTCAACGGGTTCGCGGTCCTTATCCTCTTGTTTCCCAATCAAATACATTCTAAATGTCTTTTTATGTTGATTCAGTTTATATTCATAATACTCAATTTTAATGAGCTTCATGTGCTTGTGTGTATTATTTGTTATGTAAATATGTGTTGTGGTTGTCTCTTGCTATGATGCAACAACTAACAAACCCAGAAAATGTCTCTATCTTTGTTTGAACCGACTTATGTTAGCTATGAAATAATGCAGTTTGAATTTTTATTTTTTCATTTCTCAGTATATTTAAATTTCAATACCAAGTTACAGTTTCTACAGCTTTTTATTATTTTCTTATTTATTTCTATTAAACAGGGAAGAAAGGTGTAATCTAAAGGTAAAATAAAGTCACTTAAGCAAGAATTAATTCAAAACACAAAATATGTATTCAAACTTTATGAAAATAAACTCTTATGCTTGTTTAATTAATTGTTACATTTGGAATAACATATTAATAGCTATTAAACCTAAATATACATATATATATATATATATATTTGACCACCATTGTCCACATTAGATCGTAGTTAAAGTCACTAAGGAATAATGAGAGTCAATCTATATTAACAATTGTTGCATACTCAACCTCGTGGCAAATCCCTCTGACGTTTGCATGCGCCTACAACCCGTAATAAGTGCTACTGTACCATACAATAATGTTGCGACGGTCAAATTCATGACACACTAAGCAGTTATCGCAATCGTCGTCATCGCCTACCTGAGTAAGACTAATATCTAATTTTGAGGAATCTTTGGCTGCTAATATTTAACAGAATCTTGTATCGTAGCACTGCAGGCAAAATTGAGTGAAATTTTAAAACTCTTCTGCCTTATGCTCTGCGTGATGCCTTAAAAATCCTAAGAAATGTATTTCATCCGTCTGATAGAACTTTTTCTATCTCTGCTATGACTGCAGGTAGTCGACTAAAGTCTATGAATATTTTTGTTTTGACTGTTGTTGATAACTTGAATACATGGCATGCGGCAGCATCCCCCAAAGAGGGGCCTTGACTTACGTGTGCTTCTGCTTTTGATCGTGTGATAGACAACCACTAAGCTTTATTTGTGAAAGTAAGGCGTATTTTCGGTCTTTTTGATAAAATAGACACTGACAATTAATATTAAATAATAATATCATGGACGGACAGTGGGATATGACTCCCATCGGCCGCATTGCTCTGACTCTTATTACCCGATTATACCAAATATGTAAGAAATTAAAAGATACGAGTACATAAATTTTGTCAGTAAAACACAAAGAAATATTTCTTAATCTATCATTAAAGCTCACAGGCGCACAACACACTACTCGAACTATTTACATTTATTATAAAAATGTACTTATCACTTATTTCGTGCACCCGTGAATGTGCATCAATAATGACCGAAAGTGTGCGGCAGCCTTAATTTCTGAATTATGGACGCATACTAAACGAGTAGTCGGAGGATCTCACATATCACAAGACACAACATAGGGAATTAAGTACCCATCAATACGGTAAAAAGTCGGTAATGCAGGTAACCGGGCAGACCATTGTGCATAACTTACAAGTTACCCCGTACGCTGGTCTAGTACGCTGGCATTCCAAAGCTGGTCGGCGCTGCTTCTGCCCTAGGGCGACTTTTGCCCAATTTGGGAGGAGCCAGCGCGACAAGACGGTACACGGGGGTTGTCCAGTCAATGGCACGGCGGCTCTGACCGCCCAGCATAGTCCACGTGTGGAGGATGTCGCCTAAATGGAGAATGTACCCGAAGTTGGTGCCTGGTTGGTGCATTGCGGGCAGGCGCTAGGAGGGGTCCGGATATCTTAATAATAACGGTTCCCGGATCTCTTCTATAACAGGCAGAGTGGCACACTGTGTGGTTTTAGTCGGTCCGATTCCGACACACCACCCCGCCGCAAACCCCGGTTCGGCGACGGCCCGAGGGGGTTTCCACACGTAAACAAAAAAACAGTACGCTGGAATAGTTGTTGGCCTGTTGGGCTAGTGGTTGGTAAGTGACCCTGAGTGTTAAGCCAGAGGTCGTGGGTGCGATTATAAAACAGGACAAGTAATTGTGTGATGAGCGTGACCATTTGTTCTGTGTCTGATTGTAATTTATCTATAACATGTATGTATTTAGAAGTATATACGTATGTTTATCAGCAGTGTGGTTATCATAGTACAGGCCCTGCCTAGTTTGGGATCTGACAGCCGTGTGTGAAATGTCATTGTGTTATTATTATAGTGTTGTTTGACATGCGATACTATCACGGCAATAAAACGTCATTTCGAGTTCAGATTGCCTACACACAGAAAGTCACCTAGATCGTGTTACTTATGCTTGCT